GGGGGGGGGGGGTTAAGATATCTATTAGTTGAGATTGTTTGGTTTTAAGAAACAGAAATCAGCTAGAGCTGACCCAAGCAGAAGGTGGAATTTACTATAAAGATATAGTCTCAGAATGAAGGGCAGAAGGGCTTTGGGGGACAGCAGGGAAGAGGGAGCAGATATATTGGGGGCCTCATGGGTCCCTGGTCTCTAATGCTGTGTTTACTGAAGGCCGTTGTTCTTGCATCTCTGGCCCACAGGCAGAAAACTACCACCTATCACTCCCGAATATCCTCACTGAGGCCTTTTCTGCTGGCTCAGTTAGGTCAAGAGTCGGGTCTAGGTCAGTCAGCTATGGCCATGTGACTTTAGTGGGTCTGTTTGCCTTTGTTCATGATCATATTAGAGATGTCAGGCTAAACTTGTACCAGCCCCTTCTGTGTCTGAAATTCTCTTACACATAACACCTACCTTTGTACTGTTTCTCTTATGAAAACAATATTTTCCTTGTTGCTCTAAATTTCTCATAAGAAAGAGAACGTCTTTTTTGGCATACTTTTGGAAACACCTTTCCCAGTTTTTTTTTCAGGCAGAGATCCATTTGTCCTCATCTATCTATTTTGATAATTCTGTTACTTTACCTGGATTTAACTAAAGCTGACTCTTGCAGCAGTCACCTGTGAAATAGGTGACTCACTGTTTAGGTCCTGATGACCGTTCTGACATATGTCACTCCTGCCAGTTTTCCCTTTCCTCACTTTGCCATCCTGGCCTTCTTATTGCCCTTGAATATTATGACCTCACCTCAGCTCAGGTGAAGTATACATTTAAAAATAAATGTTTGTACTTGCTCTTCAAATGCATGGAAAACATTTCCCTCGGACCTTCTCATGGCTGACATCCTCCCTTCAAGTCCTTCCCTCAGAGAGCCAGTCCCTCCCTGAGCATCCTGCCTGAACAGTCCACCCCATCTGTGCTGATCCTCTTTTTTTTATTTATTAAATATATCTTTATTGATTTCAAGAGAGGAAGGGAGAGGGAGAGAGTGAGTTGAAATATCAATGATGAGAGAGTCGTCATTAATGGGCGGCCTGAGCCGATCATGCTTGATATTATCTGAAACTGTATCATGTACTCGACTCCCAACTCATGTTCTCTCCACTGGAATGTAACCCATGGGTGCAGAAACTTTGTCTTGCTTATAGCTGTGTTTTCAACGTCTGGAACAGTGCTTGGCATGTTGTGGATACTCAAACACTATTTGTTGACTGCATGATTAAATGAATGAATGAGTGAGTGAGTTGCAGAATTATTGTGAAGTATACATTTAAAATAAACCTCTCCCAGCCAGGCATGGCTCAGTGGTTGAGCGTCGACCTAGGATCCAGGCGATCGGGGTTCAATTCCCAGTCAGGGCACATGCCTGGGTTGTGGGCTCGATCAATGACTCTCTCATCATTGATGTTTCTATCTCTCTCTCTCTCCCTCTCCTTTCCTCTCTCTGAAATCAATAAAGATATTAAAAAAAATTTTTTTTTAAATAATAAAATAAAATAAACCTCATGTTTTCAAATATGTTTTATATATTCTGTACTGGAATAAAATAGTATTTCTTTAAAAATGAGATGCAATTCAGATTTTTAATGGCCTGACCTTCCCTAATCTACCCCCTTAATACCCTTTGTCCCAAGCCCTCCCAACAGTGTTCTAAATAAGTGAGGTTTTGCAGCGACACATGGAAATGGGCTTTAGTTGTTTGTTTGAGGCAGGAAATAATTGATGTTAATTATGATTTGATGATCTGTATGCTTTCCTGGTAAGAAAGGGAGTGGCCTGAAGAGCTGGTGCTTTGTTTTCTGTTTTTAAGGGCTTGGTGCAAGCAGAAAACATTATCCATTTACTTATAAGATTATTTTACAGATGAGTTCTGCAAGAGTTGGCTCTAGTTAAACCCAGGTAAAGTAAATAGATAGATGAGGAAAAATGGCTCTCTACCTGGGAAAAAAAAACTGAGAAAGGTGTTTCCAAAAGTATTCCAAAAAAGACTTCCTCTCTCTCATGAAAAAGTCAGGGCAAGAAGGAAACTATTATTTTCACAAGAGAAGCATGCATCTGGCCATTGACAAGCCTTTTTTCTCCCCAAAGCTGGGGAGATTTTCAGTTGAAGAAAATTGACAACATTGCCTCCAGGCTAAAATTTATAGTTTTCACCATTATGATTGGTTTTCCTTTGCAGCTAACACACTCTGATAGAGTTTTGAAAAATATTTAGAGGTATGTTATCCTCATTGGTGTACATACGTGTCTAGCCCCTGTATCCCAAGGCAATATCTAATTCATTACATCTATTTAGATGTATGCATTCCAAGAGCTTTGGAAAAAAATTTTCTTTCTTTTACTGTATAATGAGCTTTGTACATTTCAGACTCTTGGGAAATTATGGAAATGAGACTGAGTAACTTCACAGCTGGAGGGAAACAAGTGCCTCTCTAATTAACTAGTTAATTCAACACATAAACTAATGAATTCAACAAACATTTAATAATTAGTGGTGCCAGATGTTGTGCTAGGACATGGGGATACCACCAGGAGGAGACATGGTCCATACCCTCATGAAGCTCACAGTCCAATGAGCTTCTATAGAAGGAGGTGTCCAATTTCAAGTCACAGACCAGCATGATGAAGACATGCTTAAGCTCTGCTATCTTCAACGTTGAGAGCTCACCACCCTACTTTGAAATCTTCCAGATAAACCATGATATTCACTTTGAATAGATTGGATTCACTTCTCTCAAGGATTTTACTTTTTCAAGAAGGCTGACTGGTCAAATCATATGTATTCCTTTGTAGGAAATACGCTTTTTATATACCACAGAAAAAGTAAGAATAGTTCTTGCAAAGAACTAGGAGTAACAATGCCCAGGGATGACCTAATGGCCTTTCGTCCTTGGAGGAAGCATGAATGTTTATCCCCTGACACAGTAGTCTCTTTCTGTTCTTAGTGACTGATCTGAATGCACCAGCTGTCAAATTCAGGGGGTGTTTCCTTCTATTTTTGGGGGGGCGTCCTAAATAAGGCTTAAAAGAGTGTTTTTATTTTGCTTTGTTTAAAGTTTTACTAATATCTTAGAAGCTTCTGGATGGCATAAAAGTACTTTTAGAGTATGCTTAAAGTAGAGCCTAATTTTACAGAAAAGAAACTATTAAAATTACCTAAAAATCTAATTTTTATAAATGGAGTAACTTATGGATCGAATGTTGTTAAGGTTCCTTTTAGTTTTAAAGAGTTCCAAGATCTATGTCATACTCTAAGAGCTCTTCATTGAATTTTGAGGTTTAATTCACAACAACCTTTCACATTAGACATTATTCCGCCTCTTTCCTGTAACCTCTCGGTTATGAGATAATAAACTGCTGAATCACAAGAAAGTGACTTAGTCAGCTTAGTCTCTAATATAGCATTTTTAAAAACTCATTTTTATTTGTATCAAATCTACTCTCTCATCTCTTTGTTTTATAAGATCTAATTTACTTTTTAAAAATATGGTGTGGGGGAAGGTCTCAAAGATAGACCCTATGGACCATGCCTTGGAATTCGTGCCTTTTTTCATTGACTGTGATCTGGCCAATGATTTGCTTAAACCAATAGAATGTGGTAGGAGTGATACAGAGCCTGTTCCATCACTACCCTTTAAGGACTGGCAATTCTGCTTCCTCCTCTCAGAACGTTTGTTTTTTGGAGCCTGGGGCTCCTAATTCACTACCCAGTTGGAGAGACCACTTGGAAAAACCATGTGAAGAGGCTCTGAGACGGCATGGAGAGAGTGAAGCCAACTGTCTCAGTGTCCTGGTCAAGCACTAGCTGCCGGCTGACTTCAACTTCATGAAAGACTTCAGAAGAGACCAGCAGAAGAACCACCCAACTGAGCCCAGCAACCCGCAGAAAAATGAAACAATACATGGCTGTTGTTTAAGCCCCTAAGTTTTGAGGCAGTTAGTTATGAAGCATAATTAACAAAATGTGTCATAACTGTTAATCAAAAGACTCCAAATAAAAAGAAAGTGAATTGGTTTCCTCAGAATAATTCATACAGTGACTTGAAGAGTTTTTACAGGAAAGTAAGCATTCAATGCACTGAGTATCTAGGTTAGTGAATAGCATTCTTATTCTCGATCAAAAAACTCATCAAACAGTGGGATTCTCTCTGTCCTGGTCCTCACCAGGGCTCGTGGTTTCTTCATGACTTTCCCCAACTCATCTGAGTCCGAGCTAGAACTGTCCCAGAGCAGCTGTCCCTGAGTCTCTTGTTCACGGAGCCATGTCTCCATTTTGCCAATTTTCTGGGGATAAAAGTCATTTCTTGAGTGATGTTCTAAAAATTCTGCATTCTGTGAATTTCCTACAAAGAGTTAAAAGTTCAATTAATTTCTTTTTCCCCCTGACAATGGTATGTTTGTTTAAGTGCCTGTGTTTGTATGGACACAGAATAATCAATTTGGTATTTAAAATATATATATACACATATAAAGGATTCCAACTGGGGAAGCATTAAAGATGTTTTTCTTTTTAAAAAAAGTTAAATCTTCTGAAAGTCACAAGAATAGTATAATACAGCCCTGGCCTTTGTGGCTTGGTTGAGCGTAGACCCATGCACCAAGAGGTCACTGGTTTGATTCCTGGTCAAGGCACATACTCTGGTTTCGGGCTTGATCCTCAGTAGGGGATGTGCAGGAGACAGCTGATCAATGTTTCGCTCTCACATTAATGTTTCTCTCTCTCCCTCTCCTTTCCTCTCTCTCTAAAAAATCAATAAACATTTTTAAAAAAAGACTAGTATAATGTATACCTGTATACTCAAGTCCATCAACAACATTTTGTCACACAAAATTGATATATATTGCAATATATATACACATATATGTATGTATATATTTGTGTTACTACATATATATATTACACACATTTTTCAGTTGAACCATTTGAGAATTAGTTGCATTTCCCCCCAGCATACATCACCACAAATCTCCTAAGAACAAAGGCAGGAAGGAGAAAAGAAAGAATAAAAGGATAGGGGATTATTCTTGAATTAAAGGAGGCTGAGAAGCCCTGGCTGGGTAGCTCAGTTGGTTACAGCATCATCCCCATACTCCAAGGTTGCAGGTTCGATCCCCAGTCAGGGCACATACAAGAATCAACCAATGAATGCATAAACAAGTAGAACAACAAATCTCTCTCCCTCTAAAAATCAATCAATAAATAAAAAAACCACAAATAAAGGAGACTGGGAGACAAGAAAATAAAATGCAATGTATAACCCTGGATTGGATCCTAGATCTAAAAAAAGCACAAACAGGGAAACAAAAAGTAGCTATAAAGGGCATTATGGTGACAACCATGGATATTTATATGGACCATACATTAGAAAATAGTATGTATCAATGTTAACATTTCTAATTGTAATAATTGTATTGTGGCTATGTAAGAAAGTTGTCCTTGTTCTTAGAAGATAGCTTAAAGAAAAATACTAATTACATAATAGTACAGGTGTCCAGATAAGACCAGAATTGTGAGAGTGACATTCAAATGATGTATTTAGGGAGACACGTCCCCTGAAGCATATAGTTATTTTCACTATAAGGTATCTGTCCCATCTTTCTTCAGTTTTGCCCATATTCCTATGCATTTATATGACACTTTACATTTTATATGTGCTTTTACACGTTTAGATTAATTTTTACATAAAACCTACATGGTGACATGATTTATCTTCCCATTTTACAGATATGGAAACTGAGGTGTGCAGAGCTTAAGTGACTATAATTTAGCTATGATCTCTATTAAAATAAACCCACATAGACAAATATATAGGTAATATTTATTGAGAGGATACTGTTTACCAGGCATTATTCTAGGAACAAGAGAAGGTCCATGCTCTCATGGAGCTGCATTTAGTGAATGTACAGTTGGGGTTCAAATGAAAGGCTTTGATTCCAAGTCCATGCTCTTTCTACCCACTATATTCAAATTGTGGCTTCTGGAAACTCAGGAGGCACATAAATATGTAAAAACTCATAGAATTTTAAGCCCAAAAGAGTGATGCTCACTTTGTAATTTATTATATAAATATATGTAAAGTGTGGGCGATTTTATTTTAAAGAGGCTGCAGAACGCAAAGACTGATTTTTATCTCACAAGAGACTTGAACTCTCACTTCATCTTCCAAAAGAGGGCACAAGAATGGGCACATCCAGCATTAAATCAGAGGAGATGGTACAGGGGGATCTTAACTCCCAGAATCCGACGAGCAAGTCTACCATCCTGGCCATACTCCACTTTTAGGAGAAAGCAAAGTGCACTGCTTTTAGAAGACAGGGATAGAAATCAAAGATGTGATTTGGGAATAAATGAAAAGGAATCGTTGCTCCAGCATATGCCTACTGCAGTGGTGAAATCTATAGGCTTTACAGAGGGCAGCCCTCTCTTGAAAGATAAGGTTGAGGAGTCACCACCTCTATATTTGCAGACTTTCCCAAGGTTGTCCTGGATGGAGCTCCAGTCCCTGGAGTGTTGATGAGACTATACACAGGGGTGAGTGAGGGAGCACTCTTGGGAGTCAAATCTGGGGCATCTTCCAAAGGCTATGCCAATTTGGTGTTTTTTGGTCTGATCTCAAGCGATGAGCTATGTGTCTAACTGTAGCTGAGGGCACTTTTCTTGGTTGTTTTGCCAATGATTTTTTAATTGTTAAAGTTGTTTCTCTACATAACTACACAGCATATTTCATTCTGGGACTCAGGAGTATGGGTTAACTAGATGCTTCAAGTAGATTTTCAATTGTTCAGCTTGTTCTTATTTAATTAACTTATTGACTAAGCAACTTGTTCCTTTGAGCAGGAGCAGTATCTCTTTCAGCTGACTCTTCTGCCTGTAGAAGTCCAAGACCTCCAGAGGCGTGGACAGCATTTCCCTAGATCTCTCAGTGGTCAGTCTTGCGGAGATGGGGATTTGGCCCACAGCACGGCAATCCTTGACTGTGGGCGATATTATACATTTGCAATGGAGGGCTTGCCCTGGGGGAATACAGACAGGGAAAACTTAATGGGGCTCTAACTGGCGGGGCAACAAGCACAGAGGTCATGGACACAGACATCTGTTGGAAGTCACAGAGCAGTCTGAGGCCACTGAGTAATCTGGCCTGGCTGCAGTGTGGGGGTGGGCGTGGGAGTGGCAGGAGATGAAGCCAGGAAGGGAGTTTAGACTTTGTCCTCAGGCTGATGGAGACTCACGGAAGGATTTTTTTTTAGCAAGACAGTGAGTTGGTCAGATTTGCATTTTTAAAGATTACTCCACTATGTGCCGGAGCCTGCCGGCAGTCGAACGGGAACCTGATTGAGGGGGTGAGGATTGGAAAAGAAAAGNAGTGCAGTACTTGCATGAGAATCACTTTGGAATCTTGATAAAATGCGGGGCCTGATTCAGTAAGTTTGGGGTAGGGCCTGAAATTCCGAATTTCTAATAAACTCCCAGGTGATGCCGACCCTGCTGGTCNAGCAAGAGACAGGATGGGATCGGGAGGGCTGCAGCTCATTCCTGTTGCCAGCNGATTCAGTAAGTTTGGGGTAGGGCCTGAAATTCCGAATTTCTAATAAACTCCCAGGTGATGCCGACCCTGCTGGTCTGTGGACGATACTTTGATTACCAAGTAGACCAGTGGCTCTTAAACTTTAGGGGCATCAGAATCACTGGGGTAGAGGGTGTTAAACCAAGTTGCTAAGCCCCACCCCTGCAGTTTCTGATTCAGTCACTCTGGCTGGGACCTGAACAAGTTCCCAGGTGAGGCTGGTGCTGGTGGTCTGGGGACCCACTGAGAAGCACTGACGTGGAGGGCTGATGGGGGAGGTCAGACCCGAGTGAGGAGCACAGTCAGGAGGCTGTAGCAATAGCCTTGGTATGACAACGGTGAACTAAGGGTGACATGGGGGAGAGAGGGGAGATTTCAGCGCTAGGTGACATCAACAGGACTTTGTGACTGATCAGTTGCAAGGAGAGGGAACAGAAGGGCTGGAAAGGCCCCAGGTCTCTGGCCCGAGTGACACAGGGCACAGAGGCCTCACCACTGAGACAGTGAGCGGATGCAGCAGGAAGAGGCTCGGATTCAGTTTTAGACATTCTGCGTGTGCTGTAGGGGAGAGTGGGCTGGGGTGAGAGTATCTGCATATGGCACCAAACTGGCTGACACCAATTTGCTGGTTAACATTTTCTCCACGTGCTTCATTCTCTTTCACCACAAGATGAGGCTCTTTTGCCTTTTTTTGTTCCAGGGATGGAGCAAGGATTGCCAATAATGCATGTAAAGTACAGTAAACCTCTAAAAAGAAAGAAGCATCTTATTACAGCGCTTAACCTTCTGTCTTTTCTTCCCCACCATCCAAAATTACATGCTAGCATGCCCACTATATTCCGGGAAGTAAATATCAGCAAGGATCCAAGGCTATTTGCTGACCTCCCCCTAAGCCAACTGCAAGTTTATTTGATGATGTTTTAAACACTTGAAATATTTTATTTTACTGAAAAAAATTACATGACTCACCTGGACTTGGGTTTAAGGTTTCATCAGGGAACACAGTTAGAAAGTCATCGTCACTATTTTGGGGGATGCTGTCAAGGATTTTCTTGGCTGTTTGGTCCCTCAGCTTCTCCTTATTAGTCTTTGCCTCCCTGTGAAGACTTTTCTTCAACTCTGCTTGGGCCTGAAAATGATCAGTTATAAATTGTCCAACTTCTGCCCGCCACCTCCGCCCCCAGCTACTTTCACCAGAATAGGTCCATGGATCAGCCACTTTGCAGGTTGTGTGCTCATCTGTAGATATCTGTGGCCCCCTAATCAGAACATGGTTCTCTTTTTCCTGTTAGGAGGTACAGAGATTTTCTTTATGCACAGGTTTGTTAGGAAAAGGGAGAGTATGCCCACAGTCTCAAAAAGGTGAGGGCTTCTGTTAAAGCATTTCTCTGTAGGCTAGTTGGTATATTGGATTGCATAAGACAGTGGCGTTAGGCTTATTCACTAGAGTGAGAAATTTGGAATATGAAAGTTAGAGAAGCCATACTGTAAGTGACTTTGTTACAAGAGGTCTTTCTTTAAGATCATTCTATGGCATAAATTGTAGAGATGCCTTCGTATCAAATAAAGACCAGCTCAACTCCCTCCCTTTTACTAAACCAAGAAAAATGATCTAACTTCATTTTTCTGCTGGAGCCAGAAAGTCATAGAAGCAAGAGAGACGTGAGACCCAGATACATCCAGTGAGGACTGGAAACAGGAAAGACTTAGTAGGTAGCAGAGGGATCTTGTTGGTTCTTCCCAGCTCTAGTAGTTGAATCTTTGGACCCAATAATTAAATTTAAAATGTTAAGTAAAGACTGGCTGGTTTGGCTCAGTGGTTAAAGTGTTGGCCTGCCGACTGAAGGGTCCCAGGTTTGATTCCAGCCAAGGGCACGTACCTTGGTTGCAGGCTGCATCCCCAGCTCCAGGTGGGGTGTGTGCAGGAGGCAACCAATCGATGTCTCTCTCACATCAATGTTCCTCTCTCTCTCTCTCTTCCACTTTGAAAGTAATGGAAAGAATATCCTCGTGTGAGGATTAAAAAAAAAAAAAGACTGGAGATAAATGTTTAACTACATTCATGTGCCAGGGCAGTAATTATGTGGAGTGAATTTGGTAAATGTGACACTCAGCACTGTCTTCTCATATTTACCTCTTGTCTTTTACGGTTCATTTCCAGCATTTGCATCTTATGTAAATATTGTCTTTTCCCCGAAGTATACATTGGAATTTGCATCTTCTTTTCCAATTCGTGCTGCAAAAGATGACACCTCCATTAGTATGAGGTAACTAGTTGCTGTCTCTGCAGTCTTCTACTTGACATCCTTTTGGGAACAGAACGAGATCAATCCTCAGTCATAATCCACAGAGATCTCTCATGATATCAAAGGCAGACTATTGCAGTTCCCCAATAGGTCCTTTGTGTAACTACCAGTGAATGGAGAGGAGATTTGCAATGTGTGTGATGTAGTTTTTAAGGTTCCTGTGGAGCTTTGCAGACCTTGAATGGACATCTTTTCATATCTCATTTTGACAAGATATCACTTCCCTGTCAACACATGCTTATTACTCTTTTCGCAGAAACGTGTTCTGGTTTGATGAGACCTGCCTCTCTCTCTCCCTGTATCTTCTACCACTGACTAATTGTCTGGCTGTGAAATTAGAACCTATTTCTACAGAGTGTTCCCTCATATACCAATATAGGCCCTGGTATATTGCAGTTTAGGAAGGATGTAAAGTTGATTATTTGTGACTTTAGTGCCCACACTCTGGTGCATCATAAACTCCAATGGGACAGTGTAGACAGTGCTTGAGGGCAACCAGGGACAAATACACTCTCATTCACCACCAGATGTGTTCAGTGATGTTTTATGTTGCTCTGTGGACAGTGACTGTGTTCGCTGATGTGAGCCTCACAGGGAGGGGGCATCTCCCCAGGTGTTGTCAGCATCACTAATACGGCCTTGAGGATCCAAAAGTAGGGTGACATCTACCAAATGAGCCAGCGCACAGCAGTATCGATCTGGCTCCAAAATGAATCAGGAGTGGAAAGTGTTGAAAATCTGCTTCTACCTCTCATTTTACATTTCTGTATGAGGGGAGCTCTCTCAGCAGAGTATGACACGTTTATAGAAGGAAAGAGCTCTACTCAAGACCCTTTCCAGTATTAATTTTTGGTGCACTTGTTGTAAACAAGTCAGGAACAGCTCATAGATATGATTCATCCTGGAAACTGAGAACAAAGAGAAAGTTTTAGCTCAAGGGGAAGAAATGAAAGGCAAGAGTTATGCTGGACTTGGCCACAAATTTGAACACTTTCAGAATCACCAATTTTCAAATACAACTCTTCTGTCTCCTCTGCTTCTCCCTCTTTCATTAGGAAGCAGAGAAGGGCCCCGGGTTCACCTGGACAGCCCACCCTGCAGTTACACCCATGCCCTCCGAGTACCACCGCAGCTCACCTTTGCTTTGCGAGTCGTCCTGGCTTCTCGCTGGCTCAGGAACCTTTCAGGAGTAACTGCTTGCGATAAGTGAATGGGTTCAAGCTTCTAGAAGTCCAACATTTAGAGCATTCAGCATTCCTCGAGCCATGAGATGATGAAACATAAAAGCCAGACATTAAACTATCTTAGCACTTGTCACAAGCACCACTTGCTGCCTAGAGTACACAGAGAAGGCGGCTTCAACCGGATTGCAGTCATGTCTGTGCAAAAGGCTTTTCTACCTCTCTGGGGTTTTTTTGTTCTATTGCAGTTGTCAGTGACTTATTGATCTAAATAGTGGTCAGAGAGTTAAAAGACTAAGAATCCTTTTCTATCTGCATCGAGAGACCACGTCTAAATTATCAAACAATAAGGATCTTAGAGTATTAAAGATGAAAGAGGCACCAAGAAGTTTCTTTATTTTATTCACCCCTTAACCACTTAGCTGAACTCTTCTGGTCCTTAGGGAAGTGACATACTTTTAAGATCCCCAGAGAAGCTCCCTCAGTTGCTTCAGTAATAATCAGTGCTGCTTATGAGGCACATGTAAAGCGAACATGCAGTGTGCTAACAAATCTTAGACATGGCTTTTTCTAATGGGGGCTTGGCTTTATGGGGCAGGTGATGTGGGAGTTTCAGGGGGTCACTAAGGCTGGGCAGCAATTGATGAACCAGTGGCTCTGCATCCAGCCCTACTTGCCTCAGATGACTGAGTACCCTGGAAGCTAGAGCACTGGGAGGTGACTGAATAGGCTGGGCCCGAAAGGCTAGTCTGACCACGTTGACATACAGTTGAGGACCTGGCAGGTCACGGAGTTTATTCTTCACTCAGTGAGTTCTTTTTGAACAACTGCTGCAGGTCAGGCATGGAGGTACAGTGGTCCACAAGAGTGGGCATGGGGAACAAATACAGGGTATTCTAATGATTTCCTAGGCTGGGGGTCACTGGCCTCCACATTGTCTGAACAGAATAAAGGAACTACATCNATTCTAATGATTTCCTAGGCTTGGGGTCACTGGCCTCCACATTGTCTGAACAGAATAAAGGAACTACATCAAAATAGACTGTAGAGAATTTGTGGAGCGTCATTGAAAAACTGAGTGTGAACAGGCCACCTATTTAAATATTTTCAGCTATTTAAAATAACGTATCCATAGGTTCTTAGAGCCAGGTTTTTCTTTGAAAGTATGAATAGAAATATATATTCTTCTATTTTCAGCCTCATGTTATCTGAACCTGCAGTTCTGATAAGGGTGAAGTCCTCAGGTACTCTCTCCAGGCAAATTCTTTCTTCCTGGCCATTGAAAAGAACCTGAAGGCTCACACTGTTTCTCCAAAAAGGACACTAGATGGCAGCAACTAACATTGCAAATAGGATCCTTCTGTTAAATTGTTGGCACTTGGCCTGAGAAGCAATCACTGCAGAAAAAATTGTTGGAAAATTGGCTTCTCAATTTTCAAACCAGTCAAATGAAGTTGCCTTGGAATTCTGGCTTCCAAGCAATGTTCTTTTCCCTGCCTGGGAAACGAGGTGCCCCACTTCATCATCTTTAGGGAGAACACAGTTGGAGGAATTACTGGAGAATTGGTAGAATGTGAGCTATTTTTGTTTCATGACATAAAAAAAATGATTATGTGTCTAAAGATTTCTGGATTATTTGGCTTCTCGAATAAAACAAATTGTCAGGCTAACCAGTTGAAGTGTCACATAGGAGACTTAGGACAGGAGATTTTGGTGACAAACACTAACCTGAGAGGGTTGCTTCTTTTTACTAGTAGGAGTAAGGGGGGCAGGAGCAACGTGAAGAAAGTGTAAAATTAATTTGGCATCGTGACTCAAGGATGTGTCTCTAAGGCTCTGGGAGAAAGGTAAAGATGTCCAAGATGGACTTGGATCAAGAAATCGTAAGGACAAGGAGGAATTTCTGGTCAAGTCATTGCAATGAGTTCACATGTTAATAACATTCTTTGCTCCAGACATATGTCAATGAAAAATAAAACAGAAAACCAAAAAGACATGGTCAGGCTATAATGCAAGATATGTATCTCCATGGACCAGAAAACAGAAGAGAAAACTTAGGGGAAGCTGATCAACAAGACGTTTAGGGCTCCTGATGGCTGCGAGTTATTTCTGCAGGTTAAATGTGGCCTAAAAGTATTCCATACAAGATAAGAAACTAGAGCCCGGCTCACAGTTTCAATTCAGGGGTTGAGCTGTTTTTCACCTCTTTCCCTGGTGAAGAGTTGCATCAAAATGTAAGCTGATAGATGTACCAAGAAATAAAACTAGAAAAATTACACAAGACTCCTGTGGGAGAATGATGAAATATTATTGAAAGATCTAAAAGAAAATATGAGTAAATGGAGATTTATGCCATGTTGACGGTTTAGAAGACTCAATACTGCAAACCTGGTTAATCTTCCCCAAGTTAATCTATTAATGTGTCCCAATCAGAATACTGACAAGGTTTTTCTTGGAACTTTGCAAGAAGATCCAAACCCCACATGAAAGAGCAAAGGACTATGACTAGCAAAGGCAATTCTGAAGAAGAATAAAGTGAGGGGACTTTTCTTATTGGATCTGAAGGCTCAGCTTGAAGTTACATAGTTGAGACAGTGTGGAGTTCCTGTGGTGATACGAAGGAAGCCAACGCAACAGAGGACAAGAGAGTCCAGAGACAGGCTCATGAAGCTCTGGAAACGGGATATACAATGGAAGTAACATTTCAAATCAATGGCCAAAGAATGGACGATTCCATGAAGAGTGCTGGGACAGTAGATTAACCAAATGGAAAAAAGTAAAATTAGATTCCCACTTCACACCTGCACACAAATGAATTTCAGATGGATTAATACCTAAATGTGAAAAGTTAAATATTATCAATTTTAGTCATTAAAAAAATCTTTATGAACTTGGGAAAGATAATAATTTAATTAGTCAAAATACAAGAAATACAAAACAAAGATTGAGAAATTTGACATTAAAACTGGAAATCTATGTGCGTGTACACACACACACACACACACACACTCACGCACACACAACAAATGAAAAAGCTAACCATAGACAAAAAGAAGATATTTGCTACACATGTAACTAACAAAGGACCAGGTCTAAGACATATAAAGAACTCTACAAATTACAAAAGAAAAGATAATAGAAAATGGGCAAAGGACTAGAAAAAGTAAAGAAAGGGAATAACTTAGTGACAAATTGTCTAATACCAAAAACAACACAATGAAACGGAGCAGGTCAGAACTATCCTTCTCTCTCATCAGCAGTCTTCATGCTCATCTTTCTCTCCTCTCCATTTATTCATTCGAGATTTGCTCAAAACATACTTACTGATCACCTATTATGTGCCATGTACTGTTTTTTTAGACAATTGCATATGTTATTGAAGACAACAGACAGAGATACCTGCTTCAGTGAAGATTATATTCTAGCACTGGGGCTGGGGAGAGGGCAGGGAGGTGTTGAAGAAAATAAACAATGAAAATAATATATAAGTAAATTGCTTGGTGTGTTAGATACAAATACATGTTGGGGGTGGGGGGGAGATGGTGAAGGGTCAGGGCAATCAGGAGTGCTAGGCTGAGGGTTGCACTTGTCAATGGGTTATTAGGATAAGCCTTCCAGGGAAGGTGAGATTTGAGCAGACCTTTGGAGGTGAGGGAGTCATCTGAGATTACCTGAGGACACGCTATAT